TTAAATGTAAATTCTTGTTGATCATAAACCGGATGTCTACTGTCAAATATTAGAACCTCTGCTTTTTTGTAGCTGCACCTCTTACATGTTGGGCTATTTACATACCTCACTTTGTCCATGTCTTTTTACTGAAAATATTAAAATAAAACTCACTGGTTTTGTCTCATAGTATAAATCTAAATAATGACTTTTTATGAATTTTACTAATAGATAGTAAAAGAAATTACTAGTTAAACTTGTGACTAGGGAAACAATTCTAGTTTAAGCAGAACTAGTAAAATTGAGGAATTAGTATATAGATTCTGATTTATGTCATACCTTGTCAGACACGAAATATAGACAATGAAGAAAATTTATTTTTACTATACAATGCATTCATTTTAGTAGTGAGGTGAGAGCCAATAACATGGTGTTTGACTAGTGTTATATATATTGAGAATATAAGGAGATAGTGTTTGCTTTTGCGATGTTAGTAGCTGTCCCAGATTAGATGTTTTGGGCTCAATGTCCTAGTACTAATGATAGTAGTGATTGGATAAGGAGGCCTTCTTAAGAGAGAGCATGGTCATGATTTTAATGTGAAGTTAGGTAAGGGCCATAAGGCTATTATTAAGTCCCATTGTTTATGCCAAATTCACCTAACTGGCGACATATGGTTGGGAAGTCAACGACTAAACTAAAACGACTAAAATAAAAGATGAAATTAAAGAGCAAAAGAATTAAAAAAATAAATAAATATACGGATGGTGATGCTAAAAACCAGAAAAGGCATCACAACCACGAGTGGCTATGGGTACATAATGTGTCCCTATTGCTCATATTTAAGCATATATATAATTATCACTGTGTGAGTGTCGATGAGTAGGGAGTATATAATTGGATTGGTAGTGCACTGCGAGAAGGTTGTTGTGATTGAAGCAATAGATTGGTGGTATTGCAAGGAAGATGTGCGACTACAGTGGTGAAGGCGTCTAATATAGAACTATTAAATGGAGCTGATAAGTATAGACAAGAGGTTAGAAGTATTATATCTTTCATGTAGATACTCCTTGGTCCAAAATAATGAAAATAGAACAATGCTATAACACTTCATTTCACCTCAAGTATACTTGACAAATCTTCGACATCCAACATCTGTAGGACACTTTTACACTTTATTTTGGGCCAAAATCATGGACATATTTCACAATATAGCCGAATTGATGTTGGATACTCAACATGAGTACCTGAGTCCATGTAACATAAGAATAAGGTAGTTACGACGAAAAAATATGTCTTAGGAAAAGAGTTGGTAATGGGTCATTTTGATCAGTTGGAATCAAATATACTGGATACTAGTTTTGGAGCTTTGGGTATCTTATTAAAGTGCTTCTATGACTGGTTAATGATAATGGAGGAGGAAGAATATGAGGGAAGGAGAATAGAAATGGCTCACCTATAAGTATTTGATATTCTTGGGGTAAAAGTTGTTACCCTTTTTCTAGCCTCTCTTTGAGTCTTTGTTGAGACAGGAAATATTCCCATGATCTCAATATTCCTTGAACTTCACTTACTGCCTTGGCCTTGCCCATCAGGTTTCCTTTTAGATACGCTACTTGCCTCCATCATGCAAGTCAGCAATGATAGTCATTAAATTATAGGAATTGGTTATAGCTCCCTTGATATCATGTTGGTGATTTCACATGAATAAGATACTTCCTTTAGTAAAGTAATAATCCCCACCTTCCCTTGATAATAGGAGATATTGGAATGCAAATTGATGTCTTCTTTGGCTCCCATATAGGTCTTCACATGGCTCCCATAGAGGTGTTTGTGGATAATTCATGATCCTTCATATGGCTAAGGATACTAGTGCTTTGAACTTAAACGATGAGGGTTTTCTTCTCTATATAAGGGTCTTAATATGAGTGATCTGCGATTGATGTGCAGTGTCCCATTACCTTTTGTGTCTGCAATAATACTCTTATATGGTATGGGTTATCTTTCCACACCTCTTTCACCATGTATGCTTTCTTAGATTGGTTACTGCTGTTGTATTCTTATTCTTATTATTTATTTATTTATTTTTTATAATCTTTCAAATTTTCATTTAAAAAGTTTAATTGTTCTTTATCTTCCATTTTTCATGTGCTTCTGGGATATTCTTCTAAAAAATGTTGTTTGTCAGTGACAAAGTAATTGTTCCTTTGTTGATTTTATGCATTGTGATTTTTATTAATTGGTTGCATAATTGTGATTATTATCCTCCTTTTCTTTTGATGCAGGTGGGGTATGTGAATTCCTTGGCTATTGCAAAATCTGGCAGATTTCTTGTTGCTGGAGTTGGGCAGGTGAATTTTTTAATTTATTTATATTATTTTGCTTGTGTTGTGTATATTATTTGGCTCATTAGGATGCAGACTACATCTTTACAGCTTATTTTAGTGTTTTGGGAGAATGCTCTGAAATTGTATGCCTGCTTAGCAAATTGCTATGTCTTACTCTTGCCACTTGCAGCCCCACTTTTACTCTCTTTCTTCTTTTGCTTAACTCTTGTGCAAATAGTAACAGTCAAAAACATTAAGGAATAATCACAGCCTTGAGTCTGCTCATGTTCTCCATGTTGCTTTTAATTCGTAATTGGAGGGAGCTGAATTTCTAGCCTGGTATTAGTGCCTTTTCAACTTGTATTGAAAAGCTATTTGGCAATATATTGGTGTATATATGGCTATATTAAATGTTAAAAAGGCTTTTCAATATGGCTATATTAATTGTTAAAAAGGGCTTTTGATCATCTAGGAAAGTTTAGGCTGTTCTTGTGTTCATTGGAATAACCTGCATCCCATTAATTGCAGTTACAAACAAGTACTCTTGCTATTGCATTTCTAACCCATATGGTGTATTCTAAAAGGGGATCTAACCTCAGTATTTATTTTTATTTCATCATAAGGTTTGCATCCATTTTCATTCACCATAAGTGGTAGCCTTCTATATGGCATCGGGATAAAGGTGTTGTCTGTTATGGATTAGATAAATTATGTGCACAAATGACAACTATGCGAATAAATTGAATGAATACTGTCTGGTTGTTTGTTTTTCACTCACTGTTGGATAAGGAATGTAACCGCCTTGTTAAAATTAGATGTGCTTATTTTGATTTAGTCAAACAATGTCTTTTAGGTCCTGTTATGCTTGGTTATATGGCTCTGTAACAGTCACTAAATACTGCTAATACATTTTACTAAGCTATAGTCCACTTGAATGCAGGAACCACGTCTTGGAAGGTGGGATCGTATATCTACAGCTAGAAATGGTGTTGCTTTGCAATCCTTTAAGCTTACATCATAGGAGTCAAGTGCACATGTAAAATCTCTTCAATTTTGACTATTTATTTATCAAGGTACCAGGATGTAAGAGATCTTATGTCTACGATTTTGATGATTCATTTGATTCCTTGTGAGTTTCAACTGTGATCGACCTCCAAATTTTGTAACAATATCATGTTTCTTAGTTAGCGAACAGCAAATACTGTGAAATTTGCTGGTAGCGTTCGAGTTGTAATGAATGCTAGTAATATTAGCAGTAGCAATAGCAGTTCATACTTCAGTTTAGGTGAGTGAACTTTGAATCAAAGTTATTTTTGCTGATTTTTATAAGCTCCTAGTTGCAATGCTTAATTTTGATTGGGACTTGAATATATTTGCTGCAATCAGTTAAACTGTCCGAATAAAAACGTATTGCCTTTAAATTGACTAAACAATTAGATAGATAGGAAGTACAAGTACGATGTTTAGAAGTGGTTAAAATGTTCACTTGGCTTATTAATGGTTTGTTTTCGACGGAAAATATGGAGTATTTTTCATGATATAGACTTTTTTTTGGGTGTATGTATAGCCACCAAGAGATGTGAAATTCTATGGCCCTATCATTTTTTCTTTTTGGCGCTAGCCAAAACGTCTTGTTCCTGTCTCAGGCCCTTCTTTTGGGTTTAGGTTGTTCCCAAGGTCAGCCTTTTCCCATTCTCTTTCAACGAGCAGAACAGTTTTTTTTGAAGTACCGATAGTATTTCATTCATTTTGCAGTCTTAAGATGTTTTTTTGGCAGTCTACCTTTTTAGTTACGTATTAATAAAAATTTTAAAAACTGATTATAAAATCACACATTAAAACAAATCTAATAAAATCTCAAGAAACTATGTTGCATATTTATGAGAATTTATAGTCAATTTTTTTTTTTTTAATTTTGTAAAGTCTGACCATGTAAATGAAAATAAAGGGAGTATTTTTATTTTTTTTTATTTTTCATTGGTATTGGATAAACAAGTTAACAAAAGACCCTTATACCCCATTATCCATTAATATTATGGGTTCATGGATAATCTCAATTCTCAAATACGGGTTGATCTAGTCTGATTTATCCATTAATATAACATATGTAATTATGTATTAATATTACAATAGGAAATTAATACAACTCATAAAAGGGTAAAGAGTCAATTGATATTATCATTTTGAGATTGATACTTTGTATTATATTGAACAAACATAAGAAGAATATTACAAAATATTTGACATTCATTCCCATCTTCGTCCATTAGAGGGGCGTAGACTTCCCAAATTTTGCGTAAATAAACCATCTTCACTCCTACAAAAGATCTAAGTGGAAAGACCTTGACTTACATAATCAATATTTATAAACTATCCTAAGCAGACCAGGATGAAATGTATCCGTAACTTGTACGATTACCATTTCTATCTCTTTCAACAAGATTACTCGAATAATTCAAAGTAATTACTATGCGATTTAGGGTAATGAGGTAACAAAATGCGAAACAGAGTAATTAGGCAACCATCGAGGTCGAATTCATCCATTTGACCTAAATGTGCCAAACTCTAGTTAATTAGCTCTAGAGGATACGCTAGGAGAGGACAAAGAAGTACGAGTAACAAATACTTTTCTACAGTATTATCTGCCAAACTGTTAGATAACTAACCCGACTAGGTAAAAGATAATAAATTTGACTAGAGACCACGGTTAATCATCTCCAAAAAACGTTGGTCGGACTCCAGTCTTTGAAGACGGATATCATGAGTAAACCGAGCAATAAACGCATCAGCTCGCTTCTTGAACTCATCATGAAAGGTCAGCGCCACATCCATACTCCTCTGCCCCGACTTCTCCCCACCATCACCACCGCCGCTATCACCACCAACATTCACTTTTCTCTCTACCATTTCTCGAAAACTCTGCCACTTCTTCAACTTCCTCCTTACCCTATACTTACTCAATCCCCCCATCTCCCCCTTTCCTTTCTCCCTCTCCTTTCCACCACCATCGCCGCAGCTCCACGTGTCACTTTTCCTAAGCTGGGGCCTAGTTCCCAGTCCTTTTGACTCCATGATTGCCTTCCACGTGGCATCCAAATCATCCTCCTCTTCTTCTTCCGTGTTTTTCACTTCACCTATTTTCTCTTCCTTTTCCTCAAGTACTCGAAACGACGACTTAATTTTCTCTTCTTCATTAGTTGATGGTGTTGTAGCACTTTCCACAACGGGCTGCTCTTGCTCATGAACTCGAAACAACGACAAAGTTTCGTCCTCCTCGACTTTTGTTGATGTTTTAGCACATTCCATAGGCTGTTCATGATCCATGTATGTGCAAAACCACCAAGTATCATCATCATCAAGAGAAGATGACATAACTTTTGGACTATGAAACCGAAGTTTCGTTTTTTCGTGTACTTTGAGGAGCCTATTGATTATACAGGGTACAAAAGAAGACGAAGAAATGAGGATGGAGATGATTATGGAATGAAGGACAATATACATAAACTTACGCCCCTTGATTAAGTCCAAAAGACGACACGAATTCGAGATTGCGAGGGGAAATACTCGTTTAACTAACAAAATAAACATCAATATCCATAATACTGTTCTTGCTAATTTTCCTGTTATATAGCACATATTAAATGTTGCCATATGATTGGAATTTGGGATATAATTAAGAGGTAAAGATTATAGGTTTCTGATCTTAATCTAACTTCATAATTGCTTTGTTTAGATTACTAATTTTTGTTTATAGGAGAATAAAAGAGAAGAAAATATGGTTGTACGAGTATATGTGTAAAAGGTAGAGGAAGAGGTAAGGAAAGCAAAGACATGTTTGCTTTTATAGTGGGATTCTATAAGTAAATTTTATTTCTCACCTTTTTTTTTTTACAAAATTATTTTTACAATTTTTATTTTAATAAAGCGATAAGTTATTTTTAAGCTTAAACCCTCATTAATGTCAACATTAATGACATCAGCAAAGAAACAACGGGTTGCCATAGATGACAAGTTAGAGCATATTTAATGGTTGTAGTTAGAAACTTGCTTGCAATTTAAAAAACTCCCGCCCTAACTATTAGCTTGACCATTAGAGCTAAAAAATGAAATTAACTTATTTTCAAGGTATTTTTTTTAAATGTGAATAAATATATATATATATATATATATATATCTATATACATATTTTTTTTAATATGGTACTTACTGATTTTGTCAAAATTCTTTTCATTTTTTCAGCCCAATTTATCATCATGAATTTTGGAATTCGAAATATTTCACCAATAATTTATTGTACAAATTATGAAATTGGTGCAGTAAAATATCAATGATTTGCCGTGCTTTTTCTGTTGAAACTCCCTGAAAAATCACATGAGACAAAGTTAAAAGGGACCTTACATGTGAGGGGGGTGTTAAAAATCAAAGACACCTCTCAAATATCACCATATGTAAGTGTCCCACATTGGTTGAATAAGAGAGAGTTAATCAATTTATAAGACTAAAGTGCTACTCCTCCTATTGCCATATGGTTTTGGGATGCAACTTTCTTTGGACTTGTGAAGTGGATTCTCTCTCTTGGTTTACGGTGTGGCCTAGATCCTTATTTAACAAAATTGATGTAAAGATCATGTTTTAATTAAATAGTGTTGCAACGTTAAGTCATCATTGACTGACACATTAAGATATTGACCCTATTTTAGATTGAAATGGCAAAAACCTGTAGAAATCCACAAAAAAGTCGGAAAACATTGGTTTGTACCTGTATGAGCAAATAAGATATCTCACATAATCACTTGGAAAAGAGATTAATTTTGGCAAGAAAGCAATAGCGTTTTGATCATTTTAAGTTTTCTTTTCTACTTGGACACTTCATCATTTTGATCAAGTAGTATTAATGTATTAAGTCAACACTCAATCTTAGTCTTTTTAGAGTTTAAATGTATCTAAGTGATGAGGGAAGCAAATCATTTATTATTAAAGCTATAAAAGATAAGAGGCTAAATGCACTTTTTGCCAACTCAGGCTATGAAGTAGTCCACCAAAAGATATTTTGTAAAGCATGAGCTTCGTCATTCCCATTTTAATTAGTGTATGTAAAAACATCATCAATAATTTAGAAGAAATTCATTCAAATCCAAGAAAATAAATTCATTTGTAAGCTGAAAGAAAACGCGGGAGTAGTTGCTCTCAAATGCATCATCTTTGAACACTACTATCTACGAGCATCACTATTACTACGTATATGAGAGTTTTTTTTAATCGAATGAGGCAAATAAAGTGAGACGAGACAATTATAATATAACGACCTACCATATTTTTCTCCTCTACATTCTTTCCATCACTTCATTTCAATAAAGTTAGTGTAATTAGTGGACATATCTTGACTTTTACAGTGTTTATGCAAACTAATCCCATCTTTAATATTTCTGCTCAAAATAATTTCACCATTTTGTAAACTGAAAACAATTCCACCTTTAACCCCCATATTCTCAAAATAGTCCTTTTGATCTACAACCTGCGAAATAGGTTAAAATATATTTTTTTAACTCTCATCTTCAGGCTTAAATCTCCCTCCTTCAAGCCCCTTCCATGGCTACCACCACACCAGCCCCCTTCCATGGCCACCGCCACACCAGCCTCCCACTCCCCACCACCTTGAAACCCCCTAACCCCTATTAATCCGACCACCTCTTACCCGAAATCCGACCACCGCATCAACCCCTAAACCCGACCACCCACGAAGCTCCTAAAACTTTCCCTTTGCTTTTGAGTACCAAAGATTCCATTTTAATGAAGAATTTCGATTTTTGGTTTAGGAGAGAAAAACTGAGATATAGAGAAAGGTCGAGCTGTTGTTCGGTGATGAATTGGGTGGGAGAGGGTGGCTTTTCTTCGCCGGGGAGGGGGTTGTTGTTCGTTGGGGAGGGGGCTGCTGTTCGCCGGTAGGGGTGGGTGCTGTTAGGTGGTCGGGATTCAGGAAGGAGGAGGCTGTGTTTTTTCTTTTAAATTATTTTTTTTTCTTTTTTATTAAAAAAATTAAAATTGGATCAATTAGAATTGAAGGTGATACGTGACAAGTCACCATCTAAAACAAGGGACGTTTTCCCAAACTAAGCTTTGTTTGCAAAATATTTTGCAAACTAGACTCGTGGAAAAACTATTTCCCAAACTAAGCTTTCAGGGTAAAACGCTGTCTCGGACAGCGTTTTATACCCTGTTTTTTTTTTTTTTAAAAAAATTCAATGTATAAAACCCTGTTTGGGACAACATTTTACTTGTTGGCTTTTTTTTTTTTTTGTAAAAAAGAAAATTTCATAATTTATAGTTTTAATTTTTTTTAAAAAAAAAAACAAATACCCTAAAACGCTGCCTAAGACAGCGTTTAATGTTCTTAATGAAACGCTACCTGAGGTCACTGCCATTCTGGAGAAGAACACCGCAAAAGCCAGATATCACAGAGTGGATGTGTATAACCGCCGATTGCATATTTACCAAGTTACAACAGAAAGGGGAGAGCGACTTGGTAGTAAAAGAGGCCATAAACATACTGTTAACTTTCAGTTGAGAACATGTACATGCAACAAACCAAAGATATTCCACCTCCCATGTTCTCATGTTCTAGCAGTCTGTGTGACGTATTCACTATCGAGCGGCCGTGGGTGGACCCCTGCAATCGGAGGCCTACACGAACACCTATGCACCACAATTCTTGCCTATCCCCTACGAGACAACCTAGACGCCATATGTCGGCCCTAAACTCATTCCGAACGGTAGCATGGTACGTGGAAAAGGGCGGCCAAGGTCAAAGCGCATACGCAATGAAATGGATGAGACTAACCGGCCCCTGAGCAAATGCAGCCGCTGTCACCAGCAGGGTCACAACCGAACAACATGTCCATCTAGACCGACATAGGACCTAAGTTTGTGTTTGTTATTTGTTGTAGTAGTAGAAAGTAAAATTATTTTGTATCAGATTTTATAAAGTTTGTAACATTTAGATCATTTCTATTTTCTACTTTGGATGTCGTTTGAAATTTTCTTTCTTTGCCTTTAACTCGCTCAGCTTATGTTTAATTGTTAATCCAGTAATTGTGTTGGTATTTGGTGTATAATGTTTTCAATGAACAGATATCATGGACGGAGAAGATAGGACACCCGGACCAGTTGACCCTTCTGTCCTGACACTACAGGACACACATCGGAGTGTTGCCATATGTGACCAGACGATAATATTTCATCCGTCCATTCATGTACTTATGCATGTTAAATTGATATACTAGCTGATATTAATTACGTTCGTATGATTTTTTATCAGGTTGATCCAACGAAGTAGCTGGTTTGCAGGAACTATACTACCAGGTTTATAGGGGAATGAGTTGTTGATCCACGTGTTATTGCGTACGTCGAGTTAGTTGGCTTAGGTGGTTTTCATCATATGATGTTCAGGGAGATCGATCGAGCGCTTGTCACTGCGCCCGCGGAGAAGTGGAGACAGAAGACGTACTCCTTCCACCTACCTGTTGGGGAGGCGACCATTATGTTGCGGGACGTCGCGATACTCACGCGCCTTCCTATACATGGGACTGCGGTGACAGGACATGTGTTAGTCGATCCCATTGGTTTGGTAGCTCGGGTTCTTGGGGTTCAGCCAGGTCCCGACGAGATCAGGGGGTCCGGGTTGAGGACCGGCTGGATACGCGAGACTTTCCGTGAGCTACCTCCGGGCGCTGATGACGCCACGGTTCAGAGACACGCTCGGGCGTACTTGTTCTTTCTCATCTCTGGCGTGTTGTTCAACAACAAGAGCGGGAGCCATCTGCAGCTCATTTACCTACAGTTGTTAGACCACGACTGGGATCATATTCGTGGCTACAGTTGGGGTAGTGCTTGTTTGGCGACGTTGTATCGCTAGCTGTGTAGAGCATCCTACCGCGGTTCTAGCGAGATCGGAGGTCCCTTGATTGTGCTTCAGGTAACTCACCTAATTATCAACAACCTATTTCGAAAGCCACTTACCTAGTTTATACTAAACCTAGTTTTATATTTTTGTGTTGCAGTTCTGGGCTTGGGAGCATATCCATGTAGGCAGACCAGGTAGGCCTACTAGACATCGTCGGGGGGATCAGGACTGGGATGAGGATGCTCCACCGCTCCCTACACCTGTTGAGGCATACAGTTGCAGGTTTGTTACAGTTGTCATTACTTTAGACTTCATACATATGGTTTTATTGTGCTAGTTGACAAAATAAAATATTTTTTGGTATTAGGTGGGTGGTCCCTAGACTAACACTTGCGCATGCGGCGAGGGGTCTTCCGTACTACGGAGACACCCTAGACCGACTCACCGAGGATCAGGTGGTAACTTAAAAGGA